AAATTCTTAAGGAGTGACTACTTGGCCTGTCGGTCGGCTATGATCTGCTGTTATACCGTTTTCTGTCTGAGGCACCCTTTTCCAGACCTATGATTTCCAACCGGATAAATCTATTAAGTTTTTCTAATAACTCCTCTGTGTTTTTGAATTCACACCCTTGGAGTTTTCTGAATAACGACCCGTTTCTGAGGCCGTATGTTAAAGCTACATTTATCATTGGGTCATTCCAGGCAGGGACTCATGTGTATGCCTCTGTGAATCTTTCTAGATATGCATTATTGGTCTTTCCTTCCCGTTGCCAACAAGCGAATAAGGATTGGGCTTCTTGTTGGAACCTCCTCTTTTGAATAAATATCATAGTAAATTTTTTTGCATAAATCTTCGTAGATAGCGATGCTCTTAGGAGGTAAGCTCTCCAACCATTACCAAGCCGACCCGCCCAACATCCCTACGAATAAGATGCACCAAAATTTTCGCTTCATGGTTATAGTTCAGATTGCCAATGTGAAGTTAGATACGTGGTCATCAAGATCCGTTGTGCCATCATATCTCCATACCACTGGTCTTTTCAACTTTCTTGGAACTTGAGTGTGATTGATTTTGTCGTAGAATGGTTATTTGAAGTTCAGTGATGCAAACTCCTTATGGTAATCTGAAAACTCTTCTTCTGACACATCTTCTTTTTCTTTCTTCTTTCGCTTTGTGGTACTCCAGGTTTTTTTATCCTTCCTTTTTGTTCCCTCTTCTTCTGACACTAGTTCTTCTTCCGATGTGTCCACGTCAGTTATCTCTGTCGACCCCTGTTCGTCCCCCTTCTCGTTTAGGACTCCTTTCTGTTTCATCCTCCACAGATACTTTTCGAAGGCTTTGTATTCTCTCTTGTTTTTCTCAGTTTATGCTGCTTTAACTTCAATTTATTGGGCGCTCCCCGATCCCAACGGTGGCATTTGTCGTATCAGGCTCGCTTCATCTCCTGTGACTATGTTTCCGCCCATGACTTATAGTCCGATGTCCGGTGGATGGCGCCAAATGTTGTGCCCCACTTTCGTCTAATGGCCTTCGAGATAGGTAGTCAACCCTATTCGTAGGTTGCAACAATAGAAGTGGGTCAGAGAGATCCCGCGGATACCCCGAAACCTCTCCGGTGAGAGAGTAAGTATATCGTGAGATGAAGACTTAAAGCCCTATGATCTACGAAAGTAATTTATTCATAATTGTATTTGAGAGAAAATGGTATACCTTCCTTCATGCTCCCATTTTCTCTTTAATAGACTTGGAGGATAGTATTATGCGTTGGTCGAAGGTAGAGAGTACACCCGAGGAAGTACATTGTCAGCAACTGGCGGGCCTTTCTGGTCCGACCAGGGATTAAAGGTATATCTGGCATGAGTCATGTCGTACTTGGAGGTCGGCCTTGGTGGCAATTTCTTCTCATACTAGGAGGTCAGTCTTGGTGGCAATTTCTTCTCATATTAGACCCCAGATTAAAGGTATATCTGGATTAAAGGTATATGTAGAAACCACATACGTCATCAGTAACAGTAAAGTAAAACCAACCTCATGGTAGCTGATGTAGACTTATGTAAGACTGCATGGAGAAGTTGTTGTCTTTAAAGGGTTTTACATTTCTCTAAGGTTGTTAGCTTCAACGTAAACACCCAAGATATGATGTTGAATATTTGTCATTCCGAAAACCATAAAAGAAGAGATAAATGCAAAACGAATACTCGGAAACATAAGAAAGTCAATTTTAAAGTTTCTAAAAATTACACAAAGCAGAAGAGAGAGAGAGGGAGATTGAAATCTAGTATAGAATAAATGGGACTATGATCCTATTTATACTAAATACGAAAATCATAATCCCTTAAAAGGAGGATATCAAAACGAAGTCCAGCCACTCACAGGGTGCTATGTGGCAATTCAAATTTCAAATCTAATTAGATGTTTATCCGATATATATCTTATTTGAACTGGAGTTTTTTCCAGTCTTCCTGGAGGCTTTTGGAATACTCTGTTTACTTATCCACGAAGTCAAAGGAAGTCAACGTTTGACCGGTTCAGTCAAATCGACTTGATTCGAACTCGCTAAAATTAAAATCTCCTTAGCAACCGCTACGTCGTACTAAGTGTCAAGTACTCCTAAATTGTACCATTTCGCACACTCGAATCATCAGCTAGGTTAGCCGTACTTGTGTGTGCTTGTGTAACATCCCGATGATAAGGTACATTTAAATTTAACCCTATAATTTTATTATGTTGCATTTTGGGTCCCTAAGTAGAAGGAAGTGTGTATGGGAAGCCCTAGTGGCAATTTTGTAATTTGGGAGGATTGGGAGTACGACATGCGTACGTATGTACGCTTAGTGTACTAAGGCGCACATTAGTACGCAGGGCATACGTGCCCAACATGCAAACCCTAATTTTTAGGGTTTGGCTCATATTTAAACCCCATTATAGCCTCATTTTCCCCCACCTTATCAACCTCTACCCTCTCATACGTGTTTGCAACCCTAGTATCATCTTGAGGAGACATTTCTAAGTTTGTGTGTGTGTGTGTGTTTTGGTGCTCTTGAAGATAAAGGAAGGAAGAGGAGACCACCTTGAAGGAGTGAAGCTCTCTAGATCCAGGATCACACCACCTTTTGGCACCATTTGAGGTATCAAGTTCTGAAATTGGTGTTGTTTCTTGTAGATCTTGTTTTGGGTTAGTTTAAGGGTCTTTTTGTCCCAAATGTGGTGTTTCATGAACAAAGCATGTTCTTGACCGATTAAGCTATCATTTCAGACCCTTGGGAGGGTCTTGAGTCATAAAAATGGGTTTCAAATGGTTGGTTTTGCTACATGCATCTATTAGAATCTCTTAATGGATTAAGAAGTTAAGATAAGCACTTAATGGGCATGTAAAGTCATAAATTTGGAAACTTGATGACTCTTAAGTGTATTTTATCCATGGATCTGAAATATGGACATGAGTGCTTAAGCCATTAAGCACTTATTGAGTTTTGGAGCTTTTGGGAGTACGCCCCGCGTAAGCGGAGTACACCCTGCGTACGAGGTCAACCACCCCGATGGTGGTCAACGTGCGAGGAGGGAGTATGCCCAGCATACCCTCGGAGTATGCCCCACATACTCATTCTAAGGTGACTCGGCTGAGTTGACTCGACTGAGTTGACTCGGTTGACTCCGTGGGTTTGACCAGTTTGACTTTCACTTTGCCTAAGTTTGACTTAAGGGTATTTTGGGATTTTGCTTATGATTGGTCATTTGGTTGGATAGGTGACAGTTTAAGCTGAGATTCGAAGTCGGGACCTCATCAGCTACTGTTCAGTCTGTGAGGTGAGTTTTCCTCACTGTAGTTGTAGGTCGAAGGCACCAAGGCCGCCCCATTGAATTAGATATCCTGTTATGTGATAGTATGATTTGTGCTGTGGTGATCTATTAGATCAGTATCTTGGTATATAGGATGATGTTATGCTTAGTGATATGTAAGATCTGGTTCATTGTTTATGGACTGGTTATATGTATGCGTATCTGTTATGTGTATATCGACATGGTTATGCGTGGGTGGGTTGAGGCGGACCAGTGTAGATTGAAGGCCAAGAGACCCAGGGCGTCCCAGATAGATTGAAGGCCGGATGGGCGTACCACTCAGGCCGAAGGCCCGGAGAACGCTCCAGATAGGCTGAAGGCCCGATGAGGCGTACTAGTCAAGTTGAAGCTTCTGTGAGCGTACCAGATAGTTTGTAGGCCGATGTGGTGTTCTAGTTAGGCTGAAGGCTCCGTATGAATGTTGTTTGTTATTATGCTTTTGTTATGTGTTGGTACTTTGGGGGAACTCACTAAGCGTTGACTTACAATTTTGGGTTATGTTTTAGGTACTTCAGATGAACGCGGGAAGGTGAAGTCGTGACCGTACACATCCTCTTGCTTTATGTCTTATGATTTTGGGAGACTATGATATTTGAAAATGTTTTGAAAACAATGATTTTAAAAAAATTATGAATTTGGGTTGCTTAAAATAATTTTAGTTTATTGTGATTTTTATGAGTGTTACAGCTTGACCCATGTCTTGATCAACTTATAGTCTCTAAAGGCCTATCTAGAAAAAAAAATTATAAAATCACTAAATATTTTTTCCTCGGTCAATGTGAAATAATAAGAAACTAGCCAATCCGACTATAATTTCCAACATCATAAAGATGGGGATTAAAAATAAAAACTACAAAGAAAACTCATAAATTCTTATTCGGTTAAACCGAATAGTGAAAAACAAAACTGAAAGCCAAACCCAATAATTCTTTTATTTAATTTGTTTAAACAGAAATCGAACCAAAAACCAATTATGATCGACCGAATAAAAAAATTTTATTCAGTTCCATCAGTTTATTCGGTTTCAGTTTTTTTTATTATGTTTCGTTTTTTTTTTCAACAATCTAGCAAAGCACACGCCTTGATGTTAGATTTAGCCTTTTCTATTTATTTTATAATCAACAATACAACAATATAGTTTTAAATATTAATTTCACATAAAATCAGATATTTTATATTGGAATCAATCCACTTGTCTTTGAAGTCGCAAACTGTTACCTATGTTCCTACTTGCTAACGAGCTTTATGTGTCCGTGGTGCATTCTTGTCAAAGTGTCATATTCGTTATTTTGGTAAAAAGAATTATTACGACTTCATTCAAGTAGATACTTGACTAATATTTGTAGTAAATAAACTATTATATTTTATTTAATTTATATAAACTTATACTTTTGTCAATTTAGTGCGTAACCATCAGATAAGTTGGTACTGATTAACTTTTTTATTTAAAAAAATTAAAATTGTTATGGATATAATCAGTTATTGTGTATTTTTTGATTAAAAAAATAATTAAATCGAGAAAATAGTTAAAAATGTGTATATAGAATATAGTTGACACTTGACACATTTAAAATATTATATTATTAACGTATGTGGGGTGGGCAATCCATCCTTTACCTTGTCTGGAAGGATAGCAGCCCAAAGGCTCTTTTGTTTTCAGATTACCACTCATTCTCTCTTTTCCTCCACAACTCCTAGGGTTCCAATTCAATTCCGAAACACCAAAATTCATCATGGACGTCGAATTACACGATTGGGAGGTGCTCCCCGATTCCGATGACTCCACCTCCGTCCAGAATACCAGCTTTTTAGAGGGAATCGAACGCGACTCTGAAGGTATAATAAGATCTGATTACTTTTCCCTTGATTCTCATACCAAGTATTCGGCAACTCAGGCTGAAGACGTTATCGACGCTGTTTCCGTCGAGTCGGACAATCCTAGTTGGATTGATCCTGTATGTGACACCGGTTATCCGGCAACTAAGGCGGTGGGGGAGCCTTGGAGCAGCGATGGTTCCGATGATGGTAAATACGTTGAATCCGAAGCGAACAACAGCATAGTAGGTATTGTTGAAACCGAAACAAGGAAAGTAGCTTTTGATGGAATTGCATCTGTTGATATTGACGAGTCCGACGAAACTGATTCAAAAACACGAAAATTGGGGGAAATTGATGGTGGCGGTGAGGAGTCTGAGGCTTGTAGAGAAGAGGAGGAGATCGTAGGAGCGAATGAAGATGTGTCCAGTGAAAGTAGGAAAGTAAATGGTGAAGAAAGGAACAGAGTAGCGGTCTTGTGGAAGCTTCCATTGGATTTGTTGAAATATTGTTTATTCAAGGCTAGCCCTGTATGGACACTCTCCATGGCAGCTGCAATGATGGGTGTTGTACTTTTAGGACGCAGATTGTATAAAATGAAGCAAAAGAGCAGAACTTTGCAGCTTAAGGTCACCATGGATGATAAGGTCAGTACCCTTTTTGATTGGTATTCAGTATATTACTCTCCAGCTGTACCCCTGAAATATCATAGTCTTAAAATGATGAATTCAGTTATGATACAAATTTCATTAGTCAACTTTTCTGCATTTACTTGCCTAAGGTCTATATAGATCAGAACACAAGAAGTAATTACCCGAGTCAAATCTAGTTTAATATAGTATCTTTGATTGATAAACTTCAAACATAATTGGTAGGAACAACACAAATAAGGTAAGAAATCTAGGTAAATTTAATATGACTATGATTTTCCTAATTGGGTTTCATTGCTTGCTTCATGAATCCAAAATTATACAGAAATTTGAAGATGTGTGTATTGTTTTATTTTGATAAATTTTATAAGCATAGTTGATAGATGTGTATATACATGTGGGTATATGCAGAAGGTGTCTCAGTTTATGAGTCGGGCTGCAAGACTGAATGAAGCATTCTCAGTAGTGAAGCGGGCCCCCCTCATTCGACCATCGTTACCTGGTGCCGGAATTGCACCCTGGCCTATGGTGGCTTTACGATGAATCTAAAACTCTGGAATGGAATTAGAGATTCTATTTGGATGTGTTTGTTTGTATGTTGATGTGTTGTAATATAAAGAAAGGGTGAGTATTGTAACATTCCAACACTTAGTGTGATCTATGACTATTATGTGGTTCTGTAATAGTTAAATCATGAGCTGTTGTTAATATGTCGTTTGGCTGATTCTATGGGATTTGGCTGGAATTGGAATTCAATTCTATTACTTTTATTGGTTACAACTCGATATGGATTGACAAATCCTATTCCATTCATGGTTTTCAACTTTCCATCCATAAGCTTAATGAACAAGTACGTTTGATGACTGTTGGTTTTTTCATAGTTTCTTTTTGGAAAAACAAACTATAATTTGTGTTTTACTTTTCCAACTAAAATTTTATTTTGAAATCTATTTGTCTTCTTAAAACCTAATTATACAACTAAACAATAAAGCAAGTAAAAAAATACAAATTAAATGAACAATGAAAGGCATCTTACTATTTAAGATCTAGCAAAGCACATTAAAATATGTAGGCGAAAAAAAAAATGAAAAGCTATCCCCTAATAACAAATAACTAGGAAATATATAACCGTTTTTATCGTTTATGATATAGCAGGCTTTCATACCTTCATCCTTTCAAGCTCTAGTTTTCTCTTTATATTCTCATCTTACTCATAGTTCTTAAAATCTATGCAAATGGCTCCCAAAGCTTTAATTAAAATCATTGAAGGCTAAGAAATCTTCAAAGGGTTCTGCCGAATCCTCCTCCTTTGAGATGATTCTTAAGAGACACATTCCAACTTTTTTCTCTTCCCAGTGACTTTGACAAATCAGTTAGGGTTATGATCGAGCTCATATATCTCCATCCCATTCATGTTCCTCTCACAAAAATTCCCAACTCTAAATTCACTATATGACTCTTTGAATTCCCAACTCTAAATTCCCTCTACGACTCTTTGAACTGTCTGAAGTCTTTCAAATAGGTTCAAAATTTTTTAAGGCGATTGGTGTTGTAGAAAACCCAGAAGGCTTGTCCTTACAAAAATGGTTGTCGATCAATTTCAAGCCTTTCTTCACGAGATTGGGTTTAAAGAAACTTACTCTGCCAACGATTTCAAGAAATCCGATGTTCTAGGACTATCGACTATGTTTTGCACATAATCTTGAAGGGTGTATCGGGCAAACGGGGACGACTCGACTCCATAAGCAAGAAATGGTTGACCCTCGCATATAACATTTTTTTCATGATCTGCTGCAACCATTGATCTTCTAAAAGTCATGTAGGATGACTTTTACAAGTTCACAAAGAGACGGAAAGACAACAACATCCCCTCACCACAATTCTGGGCTCTTACTCTCCAACAACTGTATTCTGATCTCGACATTCCGATCAACACATCCGGTGATGAGGTATTCGTCTCTTTTAAACTATTAAATCTTTTCGGCTCCCAAATCAGTCCGATTTTTGGGAACATCCGACGTCTACCAAAGCACATGCTTGCTACTCTCTTAAGGTCACACCTTATGATCTGATGAGTCAAACACTCTACACGTTAACTATTAGCGCCAGCGTCAACATCAGCATCAGTGTCGGCGCCAACAAGCCTTATCAACGTCAGCGTGTAGTTGTAACATCCTGTTCCGGATCGTCTGTGGTTTAGGATTCGTGGGCTGCAACCCGGGCATGAGGAAGCCTCGGGGCAACGACAAGTTGCTAGAAGCGTAGGGCTTCTCGTCACCTTTCAGTGGATATGAGGTTCATTGGAAACAGACTTATAACGAGGAAGCTATGATAGTTTGAAGTTTTGGCAAGATAAGTCCCTTATTTGAGAAAAGTGGCAGCTGAGTATGCTGGGCGTACGTGTGCGTACTCATGTGCGTGAACTTGAAGCAAAGCCACCTAGTACGCTCGGCTGTACTAGAGGGTACGTTGGGCGTACTAGGCACAGAGTGAAAACCCTAAATGAGGGGTGCCCTTATATAAAGAATAAGATGGCCTCATTTCTGGCCACCATTTCCAGAACATAACCCTCTCAAACCCTAATATCCATCCCTTGAGCTTGAGAGACCATTTGTAAGCTATTAAGTGTGACATCCCCATTTTTACGGCCAGAAAATACCAATTTCGTTTATGCTTTTTAATAAAAAGCAGAGTAACTTCGTAAGAAAAGTGTTGCGGAATTTGTTCCCAAAACAAAGTATGATAAAAATTTATCAAAGCATTTCTTAAAGAAATGTATTTTCATTACATTACAAAACCCGAGATGTCAATCATCGATACAGATCATAAGCATAAACCAAAAACATCATAGGCCACAAAACACAATCTGGCC